AAGGAGGTAATCAAACTTATTCTCACCCAAACCGTGTCAATATTCACCAATAATACCGAATACTTATTTATTCTTGTGCTTTTCTTTTCTGCTTCTTATCGCCCCAAAAACACATTCACGTTATCGTAGAACAACTCGTTGCTGGTAAGTGAGTCGTAATAAATTCAGATAACACGACCTTGCTTGAATTTTTTTTTTCACGACAATTTCGAATGTTCCAATCTAGCGTTGTGATATATTTATCAAATATCGACTTCTTTCTATCATACTGCACTTCGTAGAGTATCCTATAAAGAAACGTCGAATAGAACAGGGTTGGAAGTCATACACCGCCTCTGATGGTCATTCCGTAGAATTGCCATCCGAAATAATTGACATGCTTGAGAGTGACAGCTTCGTACCTGATAAGCGCATCGATTTCAAAAATGCCTTCCAGAACTTTAGTGCTCGCCAATCAATTATCCTACCACATCTTGGCCAGGAACCTAAACACTTCGCTAAATCATATCAAGGAAGGACAGTTCTTGTCACTAAACAGATGAATGACATATGGGACAAGCTTTCAGCAGACAGTGACAATTCAATCAAGCGTGTTCTTTCAGGCCCAATGGGTGTGGGCAAATCATATATTTCCTACTTCCTTGCATCTAAAGCTTATGCTGAAGAATGGCCGATGCTCTACATCGCAGATGCATCTGATCTTAATGTAGAATCACCAGAGAAAGCAGGAGAGGTGATTTGCAGATACTTCCTGGCACTTAATAAAGATATTTTGACTGCCGCCGAACTTGAGAAGATTGTGCAATGTGCTAGTGATCGTAATACTCAACAGATTTGGGTTACCGTCGCTGAACAAATTCTAGACTCAATAAAATTAGCACGTCGCAAAGCTCTATTAATTGTTGACGAACATGGTATATTATTTGAAAAAGAACCGGTACCTTTAAGAATTCACTTGTTAAGTCCTCTGATGAACCTTAATTTTTGGGGAGAAAAATACAAATTTGCACGTGTAATCTTTACGGGGACTGCACATGCTAAATATGAGAGGGAGTACTTGAAAAATGGTCAACATGAGTTTTGGGTGATCTATGTTGGTCCACTACAGAGCAATTCATTTGATATTTTGTTACAGTTGCACCCCATACTGAGTATACAAGGCATCAAAGAAGACGCAAAAAGGGTTACGAATTGTGTGCCACGTGAACTCATATACCTAGTTGACATCATCAATCAACACAATGTCGCTATTACCAATGTAGACGACTTTCAACCAATACTAAAAATTATGTGAGTTCACGGGTCGACAGGATTTTGGATATGGCTCAAAAATATTATAATGATCTCCCGAAAACTGAAAAAACTCGCTACTATGATGCTCTCACAAGCATGTTTCTTCCCAGTAAACCCGTTGTGCAGTTTGATTGGAAGTTCTTAGATCTTGGATCAGTTTATCGGTATAAGGAAGGAGGGATTACCCATTACCTCCCTCTATGCCCATCTGCTCAGAAGGCTTTATTAAAAATGTACATGTCATTTGACCTACCTGAAAATATAAAAAATCAACTTCGTGTAGGAAAACTAACTGGAGAGCAATTTGAGGAATCCTTATTTAACCGAATTGTACGCAACTGTGACACAACAATACAACTCAATGCAACGGATCTCAATAATAATAATAGAAGTGTAATTACACTTCGGTTTAATGACTATGGTTTGATTAAAAATTCTCAATTATCCCTTGGACCTGGTAACGATAAAGTCTTAGGTCGTGGCTTTGATAGGTACCCCCGATTTGATTATATGCTCGGACCTATATTTATACAAGTATCTATCAGTGATTTTACTTCACACAACAACAAACCATCAACAAACATCAGGCAAGCATTTGAACCAATGTCTGCACAAGCTGGTATCTCTTTAGTGCAAATTAACGGAAGAAATCAGATCGAGATGTATTTGGATGAGATGTATGGTCCTGGTCATTCTGCTAGAATAGATTCACAAAATAAGTTTGTTGTTACCTGAAATGGCAAGCGTGTGCCTGGATTTCGTATTGTCTATATTCGAGGTAGTCTCGGCACTCCTAATCACTCTGGAAAAGTTTGTGAATTTCCTGACGTAGCGCATGTTACCTTTGAGGAGATCAGAACTCAGCTTTTTTGAATGCTGTATGTGTGTGGAGCGGGATGTGTATTATCTTTTTGCCGGGAAAACCCTTACCGAAAGAATAGGGGCGTAAATCACAATATATATTTCGCATTATTTTTCTAAAGGTCGATAAGATACTTGTATAAAAAGTATTATTGAAAATGGAATCCGAGTTTTACTTAGAAAAGAAAATTCCAGTTTAAATCAAGAAATGTCGAGCTTAGAGAAAGAGTCGCGAAATTGAAAGAGAAGCACTTGCAGAGCGTAGTAATAAAAAATTTGCCATCTGTATCGCGAACAACGTGATCATATCTCCTGGCTATGTACTCGAACTTTATATTTATAGAATGTATTGTAAAATAAAAGCTTTTCAGTACTGCATCTAATCTCAGCCAGTGACGATAAATTTATCTGAAGGTGCTATATAAAACAAGCCAGTTGGCTATCAGCTGGGTCAAAGGCCTTCTTTGCCCAAGTTTCTTTACCACTAAGTGAGAAGTGAAGCGCTCGCGATAAATATTCTCAAATTGGTACCTGGAACCCTTGCTACTGAAGTCCAAGTTCCAGAAGCAGATCCATGTTTATTATGTAAGGAAGTGTTCCTTTCAAATCCGTCTGACTCAATCTAAGAATTCATCATGAATTCCTGTGGGTATATCTATCATCAGAAGTGTACCGAAAAGCAACTGTTGGAAAGGGAAATGAGTTGTCTGAATAAGTAATGTAAATACAAATCTTTCTCTCTCTGGAACTTCTTATGAAGAAAGATAAGGAGGTGGAATTACAAGAGTCTACAAAATAGTCCGCGGATGTAACGAATGCTACTACAGAATTGACCAATATCACTGCTACTACTGTCGTTATAGCCAATAAAACTCCTGTGGATGATGTTGATGATCCTTTAGAATCAGAAAGGCATACAGAAGTCCAACTGTCGGGTTCTACCAAAGTTTCTCTGGACCAAAATCCTGATACCAACAGTATAGGCGAACTGATGAAGCTACGGATTCTTCATCTAGCAGGAAATCCAAGGAGTATGTTTGACTAGAAGAATCTAATACTTATCCAGAATTTATCTTCCGATACTACTCAACAGAAAGGACTCTATAGAGAATCTGCACGAGAAGTTGAAGATGACCGAGCTTTTTTTGGGTTGTATCTAAAAATTCCAATGCTGAAGAGCGGGACGAAAAGGCATATCATGAACTGATTATGGCATATTAGCACTTTGGTGAAGAGTTAGAGAAGCATCTTTTTTACTTTTGAAAAATATATGAAGAGCATGAGGCTAAAATGAAGGTATTATCTAATCTAATCGGTGTATACAGTAGAATAGTGATTAAAATAGTAAAAGGATTTTTTATAATAAAATTAATGAAAATTTACTGTTGCACAATTTTTGGTTTTTTGAAAAAATATA